GGGTTCATACATCCGATATCCTTTCACCTCAACACACTACCAGCCTGTGATTATGCTCTTGCAAAAAGCATATGTCAACATCAAACCTCCTTAAAAACCACTCCAACCAAACTTTCTTGACCTCAGTCTTAAGTCCATTAACATTAAGCGTGACACATCTGAAAATTACAGAAGGGGCGGCTTTCCCCTATGCCTCTGGGATTTACCCACTGCACTTTTCATATTACGTGTTCCTTTGCCACTCGAGTTTTCCTGTGCAGTCACCTCCCCCTCCCTTTCCCAATTTGCAACTCAGGCACACCTCTACCACTATGTGTCCTCGGCTCCACAACCGCTGCCCATGACTTCTTCCCCGGCCTCTGCCCCGGGGTAATGACCTCATCTATCTCTGATGCCGCAGTTCGTTTCCTAGAACTCACACTTACACACATATCACCCTCAGACAAATCCTCCTGGTGTACCTCCACGGCCACCACATGCTCTCGCCCAATCTTACTCAAGTCTTCCTCAACAATTTGTTGTCCCTCCAAAGTTCCAGCTTCACATGAACTGAGGACACCTTTTGCACAGGGTTCCTCCTCATCCAAAAAATCCTTGATCACATCTGCCAATAACTCATCCTGGGTTGAAGCTTCCTGGACGAAAGTCTCCTCAGATGTCACCTTCAACTCCCCCGACGCCCCTGGGAGAGTGACACATGTCTCCGCCGCCGCCACCTCCCGGTCGACCTCTTCGCTCCAGAGGTCAGTCCTCCGGCCTCCCGAGGCATCAGAGCCAGGCACCAAATTACACGACTGTTGAATCACAATTGGAGTGTCGAGAATTCGAGAAGCCCGCCTCCTAGGACACTGGGCTGCCATGTGCTCATAAGAGCTACATAGACGACATGTTTTCCGTTGCCCAGCATAGTACACATAAACCTGTGTTCTACAACCGATCATCATAACATAGGATGGTATAGGCCTTGTTAAAGTAATTTTAAGGGTGTAAGAACTTCGGCATTCCTTCATATGGACCATCCCTCCACACCCCCATTGTTGCAGAATGCACTGTCCCATAACTTCGAAAAAACTCCTGCAGGCCATAAGCCGTAGCCTCGAAGGGTACATTCCATACCTTCACCCATGTGAAGTACTTAGAGACGTCATGTAACACAACATCCATCGTTGAATTCACACTCATGCGTTGTTCCTGGTAATGCTCGACAATTCTTGTGTAGAAATCGACTCGTAGAAATTTCACAAAGTTTTCTTTTTTAAACCATTAAGGGCGACGCCATAAAAATTCCTCGTGGGAATACCATATGTATCCCTGATGATGTTAGGAGAAGGACGTTCATCGTATCTCCACTTAACGTACCACGAACCAGCTCTATGCAGATAGTATTCACTCTCCGTACTGTATGTTCCGCCATGTTGATATCCCAATGAGCAGCGCACGTCCTCACTACTCAATGGTTGTTGCTCTTCACAATAATAATAATAATAATAATAATAATAATAATAATAATAATAACGTGAATGTTGTCTCTACGTCAGTCTACATGCAGCCAGCAGTAACAGCCTGGTTGATCAGGCCCTGATCCACCATGAGGCCTGATCACAGACCGGGCCGCGGGGGCGTTGACCCCCGAAACCCTCTCCAGGTATACTCCAGGTGGTCATTAGTCCCCCACGGTTCAGTCCACCTAAATAATTAATAATAATTTAAAAAAAGAAAGTGTATAAATGATACAATTTTCCCAGACAACCCCGCAACAAGAACATCATTTCAGGGAGCCTTAAACCCGCATTAAAACTACTTAATACCACTAACAAAACACCAACAAAAAAAAATGTATGTGATGCTGTTTTTCATTATTAATTTAGTACGATGTATTTTGAGGTTAGTTTAATATGTTTATTATGCAGAGTAAAGTCCGAGGCAGCTAGGGTTTGAAAGCTCTGTTCCAAAAGGCCCCACAGACTAGCTCCCATCTTGTTCCATCCTCAATCCGACATAGAAAAGGATGTCAGCCACAGCACCGTGTCTTCCTTTGCAGATGACACCCGAATCTGCATGACAGTGTCTTCCATTGCAGACACTGCAAGGCTCCAGGCGGACATCAACCAAATCTTTTCAGTGGGCTGCAGAAAACAATATGAAGTTCAACGATGAGAAATTTCAATTACTCAGATATGGTAAACATGGGGGAAATTAAATCTTCATCAGAGTACAAACAAATTCGGGCCCAAAAAATAGAGCGAAACACCAACGTCAAAGACCGGGGAGTGATTATGTCGGAGGATCTCACCTTCAAGGACCATAACATTGTATCAATCGCATCTGCTAGAAAAATGACAGGATGGATAATGAGAACCTTCAAAACTAGGGAGGCCAAGCCCATGATGACACTCTTCAGGTCACTTGTTCATCTAGGCTGGAATATTGCTGCACTCTAACAGCACCTTTCAAGGCAGGTGAAATTGCCGACCTAGAAAATGTACAGAGAATTTTCCCACGGCGCGCATAACGGATAAAAACCTCAATTACTGGGAGCGCTTGAGGTTTCAAAACCTGTATTCCCTGGAACGCAGGAGGGAGAGATACATGATTATAACACTGGAAAATCCTAGAGGACTAGTACCGAACTTGCACACGAAAATCACTCACTACAAAGCAAAAGACTTGGCAAAACGTTTGCACCATCCCCCCAATGAAAAGCAGGGGTGTCACTAGCACGTTAAGAGACCATACAATAAGTGTCAGGGGCCCGAGACTGTTCAACTGCCTCCCAGCACACATAAGGGGGATTACCAACAGACCCCTGGCAGTCTTCAAGCTGGCACTGGACAAGCACCTAAAGTCAGTTCCTGATCAGCCGGGCTGTGGCTCGTACGTTGGTTTGCGTGCAGCCAGCAGCAACAGCCTGGTTGATCAGGCTCTGATCCACCAGGAGGCCTGGTCACAGACCGGGCCGCGGGGGCGTTGACCCCCGAAACTCTCTCCAGGTAAACTCCAGGTAATACCCATCCTGTGGGCGGTAGTCAAAAGATTACAGAGGTACATAATGGGTCCAGGGACTGGACTCCAAAGTTTTGATAGCTGAGCAAGTTACGGAGGTAATGAACTCACAATTTACAAAGGTAATGAACTCACAATTTACAAAGGTAATGAGCTCACAATTTACAAAGGTAATGAACTCACAATTTACAAAGGTAATGAGCTCACAATTTACGAAGGTAATGAGCTCACAATTTACAAAGGTAATGAACTCACAATTTACAAAGGTAATGAACTCCAGGTAGGTCTAGTCACAATCATATTGTGAGGGAGGTTGCAAAAATTATACTGTGTGTATAGCTGCAGTGGCAGCTCACCAGGGAACGCATTTTCTAATAATAATCACGTGAAGTCAAAATTAATAATTGGCTAAAGCTCTCGCTTCACACGGTGAGCGTCCGGGTTCGGTTCCCAGGGAGGGTAGAAACATTTGGCGTATTTCTTTACACTGGTTGTCTATGTTTTCCATCAGTAAAATGGGTACCTGGGTGTTAGTGGACTGGTGTGGGTGGCATCCTGGGACAAAACTGACCTAATTTGTGGGAAATGCTCAGCATAACAAGCGGCTTTCTATATAGTAGTATGTCACTGATGTCAGCTATGGTGTGTATACCTTGTACTTGTAGAAATAGATATCGTATTATAAAAGAGAGGTGAAAGATGAGAATAGTACTATTACTGCTGCTGCTACAATTGTAGTAATAGTAGTAGCAGGAATGGTGATAAATGGTACTACTACCAATAGTAGTAGAAATTACATTAGTATAATTGACTCTTGTTCTTCATCAGAAAGTGAGACAGTAAGGAAGGTGGTAAACAGGTTACAGGATACACTGGAAGCAGTTCACACCACACAGCACACCAACACTGCCCAGGATCTCACCTGGGAAAATATAGAATATAAAGTGCTTTTTGCTATCAAAGAAGCCGCATACATTGACCTCATCGCTTTATTGCCGTGAGGTTGTGCTGCGCACACGCTCCTGGTTGAGAGGCCTTCGTGCGCAGATTGATTTTCACAAGATGGCGCAGACTATCAGAAGGCGCGTCAACACTGTGTGCTTTGATTTAGTGCGGGGTGTAGTTACGCCTCAGTCTGCACAGGTGCTTCTACCTTTGATTATTCGCAACACATACAGCATTGCTGATCAAGATTTGTATGGAGTATCGCTCAATGGGGCTTACCGAATATTCGTTAAGTACGATCGACGGCAGTGTATGAGGCCTGGTGGAGCAGTATCAAGATGGCTGTGTGGACATAAACTCGGCATACGAGTTCGTTTAATTGACGTGTCGCCGGACACTACACTTGGGTGAAGGTACGCAACGTGCCTTTCGAAGCTGACGGGGCAGATATACGGAACGTTTTTGAACGTTAGGGTACTGTGCATCTGGCAACGGCAGGTACCTGGGTGGAGGGGGCGAAATGCCGGCTGGCCGGAGGGTATGTTCAACCTAAAGAATGACGCTGAGGCATCCCATCCCGTCGTTTGTCATCCTGGACGACTTTGGGACGCAAGTGATGGTGTATTACGCAGGGCAGCGCAAGATTGCAGGCTATGTGGCGCTTATGACCAATGGCAGCACAGTGTGAGAGGCAGCAGCAACAACAGGATGCAGACAGAAGGACGGAGCGAGGGACTGACCCAAGGCGGGCCTGCCAGCGGGACGCTGTAAAGGGCCATATTTTCGTCTTGGAGCGAGGAGGTGGAGGGGAGTTTCCGACGGTGGGTCGAGCCCATCATGCCTGTAGATCTACAGTCTCCCGCTTTGGTGGAAGGGGGACCAAGTTGAGTGGAGGAGAACGAGCAGAGGATGTGGCTTTGGAGCAGTTGATGGAAAGTTTTTGGAAACGAAGAGAGCTGGGGATGATGTACAATCGGTGAGGGGACCTGAGGAGAGTGAGGACGAGAGGAGAGACAGCCAGCTGACTGCAGGTGCCCTCTTCTATGGGAATGGTGACCCTGGTCGAGGTGGCGGCGGAGGTGCATTGTAGGCATCCCCCGACCAGACCATGGATCAGAGAGTGTTCAGCGGAAGGGGGCGGCAATGCACTCTGATTCCGATGATGTCTTGACCCCGGCGCAGAGCCCGGGGAAGAAACCGTGGGCTGACGTGGTGAGTGGAGGCGCCACAGGTGTGTCCGGTCAGGTGTTCGACTGGGGAGGGAATAGAGCTCACTGTGGTGAGCATGGTGGGAAAAGTAGGAAGGCTGGTGACGTGTCTATGAAAGGAGTTACAGGGCAGCGTGTAAAACCCTTCAAGAAGGTTTCAGGTGTATGACTGTGAATGTAAATGGGTTGTGTGTGAATGTGAAGCGTTTGTGGCTCCAGGGGTTTTTGAGGCGTCATGCCATAAGATAAGATAAGATTTCGTTCGGATTTTTAACCCCGGAGGGTTAGCCACCCAGGATAACCCAAGAAAGTCAGTGCGTCATCGAGGACTGTCTAACTTATTTTCATTGGGGTCCTTAATCTTGTCCCCCAGGATGCGACCCACACCAGTCGACTAACACCCAGGTACCTATTTGCTGCTAGGTGAACAGGACGATAGGTGTAAGGAAACGTGTCGAAATGTTTCCACCCGCCGGGAATCGAACCCGGGCCCTCCGTGTGTGAAGCGGGAGCTTTAGCCACCAGGCCACCGGGCCATGCAGGAGCATAACTTTAAGGCGGGTCGGGATTTGAATGTGGATGGATATCGTGTGTTTGTGGCATATTCGGACCGTTTGAAAGGTGGGGTTGGAATTCTGATTCGGGAGACGAGCCCATTTGTTGTAATTAGATGTGAGGGGGGAGGAGGGTAGGGTACTCCGGGTAGATGGATGGTGGAGAGGTGAGCGACTGGCAGTGGTTTGTGTGTATGCGCCGGCGGAGCGTGATGTACAGGTGAAGAATGAATTTGTGCGTGATGTTTTGGTTTATTATTTGAGATCTTTTCCCCTTTGGGTAACAACCCGTGGCGGTGATTGGGGAATTGTATAGTACGTAGAAAGGATGGGGACCACGGGGGCAGGTGTTTTTTGGTTAGCCTAAGGGATCTTTTGGCAGGGCTGGGCGGGGGGTTAAGGGATGTTATTGGAGGTGGGGACCTAATGGTTGAGCATACGTTTCATAGACAGGGATACGCGGCCAGCTTGATAGGTTATATGTGACGAGAAGTGTGCGGGTGATTTTTGGTGGCTAGGGTGGATGCTGTATACACGGATCATAGAGCTGTTTTACGGATTGATTTGGGGCCAGCTTCCCTAAGAGGTATCCAGGGTATTGGAAGTTAAAATGTGAGACTTCTTGGGTGGAGGAGGCGGGGTTAGATTTTAGGACAATGTGGGAGAATTTGTGGGAGAGGGTAGGGATGTGGGTGACTTGCTGGGGTGGTGGGATGGGTAGCTAAGGAGAGGATCCGGCGGTTTTATGTGCAATGGGGAAAGTACCAGGGTTGGATGACGTACGGGTTGCTGCAGTATTTCGAGGGTGGGTTTTGCAAAGTTGTTATGAGAAGGGGCGTGCAGGCAGGGCAGTATCCCATGGAGGAAATCGAGTTGTTAAAAGGGAGGATTCGTGATTTGCAGAATGAAGATTTGATGCGGTGAGAGTGCAGGGTGGAATTGAAGAGGCGGTGTGGGTGACCGACCATCGGCCGTGTGGTTACGGGGACAGAGGCAGCGACGTATGGCTATGGAAATTGAATGGGCTGGTGGTACATGAGGAACTTAGGTGGATATAGGTGGGACATGAGTAAGAACAACGGAGGCAATGAGTGATTACGTGGATAGGTGGTTTGGAAAAAAATTTACTGAGTGTAGGGGTGGATGTGGAGGCTTTCAGGAGGTTGGGGGAGAATGTATCTTGTGTGCTAAGTAGCAGTGATCGCATGGCGTTTGGGGGGAATATTGAAGAAGGGGAGGTGTGGAGGGCTTTGGAGGGGATGGCACGAGGTAAGGCTCCAGGTCTGGATGGCTTGCCCTGCGAGTTTTATGTAGCCATTGGAAATGTGTTGAAGCCCTTCTTAGTAGAACTAATGAATACGATTAAAAGGGGGGAGGAGGGCAGGTTGCAAGGAACTGCGGTTGTAGTTTTAGTGCCAAAAGGTAAAAACAGGACACGGTGTGGCCCTTTAGGATATCTTTGCTGTGTGCTGTTATAAGATTTTTGAAAAAATTTTAGGAAATGGGAAATGAAGTGTGTGGTGGATAGTGGTTTGTGAGAGGACAAAATGGTGTGTCTGGAGGACGATGTATGACGGGCATAATATTATAAAGAATTTTGTGGAAGGGTGGGGAGGGGAGCGGGGGGGGAGGGTGTCTTAGCGTTAGATTGGCAGGCGGCAAAATGATAGTGTAGAACGTGAGGTATTGTGGTACATATTTAAGGAGGCAGGGGTTTTGGGGAGGAGGTGGTGCGTTGGGCAGAGACATTGTATACAGGTGTGGAGTGTGTGTACAGGTAAATGGGAAGTTGAGGGAGTGGGTATCCATGGGTCGGGGGATTAAGCAGGGTTGTCCCCTGTCTCAATTTTTGTTTGCCTGTTTTTAAAAGACCCTTTCTATAGAAAGGTGGAAGCTTGTATGGAGGTGGATTGGGATAGGAAGTGGGGAGCAGGGAATAATAGGGTATGTGGATGACACGACAATACTCGTGCGAACGCAGAGGAGTTTACGTGTGGTTTGGGGATGTTATTGATAATTTCGCGGGGGGTTTCCGGGTTAAGAGTTAATGTGGAAAAAACAAAATTACTGGTCTAGGAGATTGGGTGGGAAGAGAGAGTTGGAAGGAATGTACGTTGGAATAAAGGTGGACAGGATAAAAGTGTGTGGAATAGTGTATATGAGGGAGTGCGAGAGAGGCGAGGATGGTTAATCTGGACTTTTTGTGGATCGAATGGTGGGGCGTTGGATGGGTTGAGACCAACTCATTTGACAGTACATCAGCGTGCGATTGTTGTGAATGTGTTGTTATACAGTAAAGTCTGGCACGTGGCTGCGGTATATCCGTTAGCAGGTCCGGATGTTACGAGGCTGTTAAAGAGGGTTGTCCATTTTCTTTGGGGTTCCGGGTGTGAATGGTTGAGTAGGAGTATGGTTACTTTACCGGTCAACAGAGGAGGATTGGGGTTGATTGATTTACGGTTAAGAGTCAAGTGTATTTATTTGAAATGGGGGTTACGCCGTGTGCGGTGGTCTGGTGGCTAAAGCTCCCGCTTCACACACGGAGGGCCCGGGTTCGATTCCCGGCGGGTGGAAATTCCGACACGTTTCCTTACACCTATTGTCCTGTTCACCTAGCAGCAAATAGGTACCTGGGTGTTAGTCGACTGGTGTGGGTCGCATCCTGGGGGACAAGATTAAGGACCCCAATGGAAATAAGTTAGACAGTCCTCGATGACGCACTGACTTTCTTGGGTTATCCTGGGTGGCTAACCCTCCGGGGTTAAAAATCCGAAGAAAATCTTATCTTATCTTATCTCTCTTATGCAGGGAGGGGCGTGAATGGCTTGCATGAAGAGATGCGAATGTGGTGGGGAGGGTCGGAGATGAAGGTGTGTGAAGACGTGTTGCGGGCGTTGCTGCATGTACGGGACCCTAATAAAGTTCGAGTGGGTGTTTTAGAGCGTGTTGTAAGGGCAAAGGTAGTCGTGAAGGCTGAGAGTATCTACCCTATGTATGCGTGGAAGGATATATGGGAAAGATTACGGTTGATGCGCGTGCGTCCAAATTTGCGAGAGGTATTTTTTTTCGTTTTCTCCATGGTATACTGCCGTCGGGTGCTGCACTTGAGGAAAGAGGGTTGATGGTGGAGGGCGCGTGTCGGGGGTGCGGGGATGAAAGGGGATGGCGTTTCATGTAGTTTTTTTTTGTGAAATTTGGGGAGTATCAGGAATGGATGGGTAAGGTTCTGAGGACAGGGGAGGAGGCGGGATATCAGTATTGAGGGCGTTAAGTTTTGG